AAACGCAACCCGTGGCCTTTTGCCTGAGTCAATGGGCTCCCCAGGGTCACGCAGGGCTGCCTCCAGCATCAAGTTGGCCAGCGTGGGGTATAGCGTGGTCATGATCTCTGGGCTGGCCTCTGTGCAACGGTAAAGGCGGGTGAGGTAAACAGAAGAGGGAACTTCGGACGCATGTGAGGAGACTTGATTCTTAGGCCCCAGCTCGGGGATGAGGCGTGCAGAGGCGAGTCACCCCCAATCTGCGTCGCTGAGAGGCCCTGGTCCCCCCCAACACACACCCCTCCCTCCCCCCCAAAACACACACACAGCCTTCACCTGCATACACCACTCGGCCCTGGCGCAGGCCCGCACGGCAGCCGACTGCCAGCTGCAGGAGGCGGGTCAGCAAAACGAGCTCGGCATCGTCCTTGGGCTGCCGCTCCTCCTCCACTGCCGCCGAAACGTGCTGCAGGATCTGCGCCGGCGCGGGATGGGGTGGAGAGAAAGGGATTTGGTGCACCAGGATCATGCGCCGAGCAGCGAGCCCCAAATGCCCTTGCGCTGAAGGGTTCCCGCGCTCGCCCCTGCACCCTCTTGTCCCTCTGTGTGGGGACCAGGGCGCCATTGCCCAACCTGCCCCACCCTCCAGACCTCCCCCCGTCGCCTTACATTGTGCACAATGAGGTGGAGGGTTGAGGGGTCTCTGAGCACCATCCCCGCATCCCCCAGCTCCTGGAAGGGGTCCAGTGCCGCAGACGCCCCCGGCGCGCCCGAACTCTCCGCATCATCCTCCCAGGCTGCACGCAAAGGCCGGGAGGGAAGGGGAGGCGAGGTGGTCAGGCTTGGCAGGGACTACCTCTTTGTGAGGGTGCAGGGGTGAAAGCCATGGACGGAGAAAGCAGAGCAATGTAGGGGAATACCATACTCTCCTCCAAACCCAGGGACCATGCCAGGTGAGCCTGCTGCTGATGTGCCACCCGGCACTTCCTTGCCAGCCCCGATCATGCGCAGATTGCCAGCATCCATTCAAGCTTGGCGCCTTGCGGCTGAGGACTCCCGACACCCGTCGCCCAATTGATTCACCGTTTCCTGTGCACCTCACCCCGGCTCCCGGAGCGCTGTGATCTTTGCTGCTGGGCCCCCCTATGACCACGCCGTGAGCTGCCTGCCCTGGCCGCAAAGGGGGCGTGATCCTCGAACCGCACGAAGAAGTTGCCGATCTCCTGCAGCCGCCGCGAGTCCAGGCGCTTATCCTGTCGATCATGTGCGAATGGGGCGAAGGGTCGAAAGGAGGTTTGAGGACAACCCAACGGCCTCCAGGACGTAGCGCCGCACTCAAGAAGCATCCAGATTGCATCGCTTCTGGGGATCACGGTGGTGGCCCTCTGTTTGATCCGCGGCGCAGTCGCCCCGCCGACAAACTCCTCCCAAACTCACACACCCCAACCCCTTCCCCCCCTCCTCATCACCATGAGGCAGGCATCCAGCGTCCAGGCCAGCTTGTGGCAGGGGTCTCGGGAGCAGAGCTCCGCCTGGCCCAGGTCGTGCAGGGCCATGAGGAGCTGGGAGCGCAGCGTGCACAGCGCGGCCTCCGGCACGCCCACGTACAGCGCATCGCCGTCGCGGAAGCGCGCGGCGCACAGCTCCGCCAGGCCGCGGTAGATCTGGCGGCCCCCGCCCACCATGCGCGTCAGGCGCTGCAGCGCCGCCGAGCCGCGGCGCAGGATGCGGCGCGGCAGCGCGGGCGGCGCGGCCGGAGGGTTGCCCGTGCGCGGCCCCGGGGCGCCTGCACGGCCGCCCTTTCCAGCCGCTGCCGCCGCCTCGCGCATGTCCAGCGCGCGCAGCACGGTGGCCGTCTCGTGCGCGTAGCCGAGGACCAGGGGCAGTGCATGGGCCTGGAGCAGCTTGCGGTCCAGGTCCCAGACCTGGCGCTGGACGCCCAGGGGCAGCTCGCGGAAGAGGGCGCCGTCGGCGGTGAGCTGCTTGAGGAAGCTGGCGGGGACGGGGTGCAGGCGATCCAGCACCGCCAGGGGCACCGCGCGCAGCTCGGCCAGGCCCACAAAGGGGAAGGAGAGCTCCAGCAGGCCCAGCAGCGCATCGGGCCCCATGCTTTCCACCCGCGCCAGCAGGTCGCGCATGGCGGACTGCAGCACATGACGGCAGGCCTCAGACCTGGGCGAATGGGGGGGGGGGCGCGCGCGGGGATGGGGTCCTCAGAGGACAGGGAGGGGAGGGGCTGGATGGCGAGGCACGTCAGGTCTGCCAAGAAGCGCTGGCGATGGGGATGGCAGGGATGCAAGTAGCCGGCTGCCGCAGCCGCAGCGCGGGCAAGAGTGGGGATACCCAGGCGAACGAGCCAGGGGGGTAACCTGCATGCACATGCCCTTGGGGAATCCCCAGTCTCCCCTCGAGACAACCAACCCCCCTACAACACACACACACGCACAGGCACGCACCGTGAGACCCCTAGCTGGTCAAGGAGGCCGAGCAGGGGGGCGCAGCGCGGGTCTGGCAGGCCCCCCCGCCTCTGTATCTCGGCGATGGCCTCCAGGGGGTCGTGCGTGCTCAGCGTGTTCTGCACAAACTCTTGGCCGGCCTGGCCCACCAGGGGCGGGGGGGGCTCGGAGCAGTCCGCTCCACTCTGGGCCCCCGAGGCCACGCTGGCCTCCACGCCCAGGGTGGCCATGCGGCGACGCGAGGCGCGCGATCAGGAGGAGGAAGGGGGCGTGGAAGCACCGTCCTGGGATCGCAGCTGCCGCACTACCTCCGC